CCATACGAGACAGGTTGGGCCAAATATCACGCTTTGCATACCACCATTTGAGCGGGTCCTTGACGCCGGGAATGATTGGCTCAGCGAGATACTGCTCCAGCTCAGTTTTGCCGCTGCATGTTGACGGAACATCGATGTCAAGAAGCCAGTCGGCTGCAAGGTCAAGCTCGACAGTGCTGGAAGTTACACTCACCTGAAATTAAAATAAGTGTCATACAATTAAGGTGAAAGACAACACACTGCATCACCACCCTCAACGATCTCAACTTCGTCGGCGTTGTCGTGAGACTTATAGGAAAGATGAAACTCGTCTTGAACGATCTGTTCGGCTGTGTCGATCCAGTGCTGATCCCACTTGCGCAAGCGGAAATACTCAAGTTTGAGACTCGGATGAAGAACTGGTAAAACAGTGTCGGCAGACAGAAATTAGAATGTGTCATCGACGCACCCATCGCAATACGATAAACATTTGAGGTGTCCGTACGAGAATAGTATTTGTTGAGGGTTGTCTTAGCGAGGTTGAGGGCTTTACGAACCGAGCTATGGATCGGACGACGAGTTGAAGATGAGACGATGGTGGTGGTGAGAAGGTCGTCTATCTTGTCCATCGTCGTGATGACATTAGCAATGGTGCTCTTCTCTTCCGAGGAGAAAAGAAGAGTGGCGTGTTTGAACACCTAATTACAAATGAGGAAGGAGTAAATGAATGGTTGAATCACGCACCTCAAGTGTATGAACCATGTCCTCTATGATAACCCAGTCGTTGTTGGACAGCTCGTAGATGCGATAGTTGAGGTCGCGGTCGCCCGTGATGTCGTTGATTGCAGCCTTGTAACGTACAGCAAAAACCATCATGTCGTAAGTTGAGTTCCAGCGAGTGGGGACATTGCGGGGGATGTAGCGAACACGTAGGCGATGGGTCTTACATGCTTGACGCCAGGCTGGTAGACCGATAGTGGTTGAGTTTATGAGGGCGAATGCGAGTTTACGAAGCTGAATAAAAAGCATGAGCAAGAAAATAAAATAACTACAAGAGATTAGACACCCGTGAGATAGCTGTTTTAGCCTCCTTCGTCTCCCGCAACATCTCTGCTTGCTTCTGGGACCCAAGCTCATCAAAAGCGTCCTTGTTGTCAGCAACGGAGCTGGTATCGAAGAGCTCCTCGAGGTCGGGCATCTCATCATCGTCATATTCGTCGTCGATGTCGATAATCGGTTCCTCTAGGTTTGCGTCGTCGTCGCCGTCGATGTCGTTACCAGAAGCATCCTTCTTCTTGGGACAAGGTTGGAAAGGACGCATAAATGCTTTAACACCGAGGTTCATGGTGTGGTTGAAGCATCGGACACGGTTTGCGGCATCGAAGTCGTTCTCAGAGCTCCTATCGAGCACAGTGTTCTGGGTGTCATTGGACCTGGTGTTGTCTCCGGTCCATGCAAGAATCTATTCCTAGTCAACCAATGATAATAAAAATGAAGTGAAAACATCGCACCTTGCGCTCAAGTCCAAAGCGTCTAAGCATATCATCGAACTCACGCGCGAGAACCTCACCAGTGTGTGACTGTGAAAACAGGTGAGCAAGAAAAAATACAAGCAAAGGAGACGTACCTCGGGGACTTCGAAGATATCCAGGAGAAACACCAAAGGCTCGCCATTGTGCTGAAGATGAACTGTCCAGGCAACGAAGGCACGATGGTTAGGAGATGTCCATGCGTCTGTTGCAAAACTGAGGCGGCCATCGTATTCCTAGAAAGATGTTATTCAATTCGGATTTAGCAAAAGATAAGAAACTAATTACTGTAAGAAGCTTTTTGACGCGGTCAGCTGAGCATTCATACACGGCTTTGAGATCACGGGCCACAGTGCTGCGACTCGGAACTGTGAGCTCGGGGCGACCGGCGGTGAGGAGGTCCTGAAGCTGGCGATCCCCGACAATTTTGAGGGGTCGATTTGCCTCAGCAATCCAACGAATGATGTGTGCACTATGGAGCAGTGAGGAATGCTTGGAGGTGGAGAAATGAGTAGGAACGTACCGAAATTCTGGTTTGGTGTGTGTACGATGGCTGACGTTGACAGGGTGTTGTCCAGAACGTGCAAAGGCTGCAAAGATACTTCCATCGCAACTGGTGTCAGCGGCAACCCCTTTGATGCGAGCTTCAACGATGTCGGAGCCCCAGCACTGTTTGGCGTGTTTCTTGAGGTTGCTGGTGGACGAACGGTCGCTGTGAGGGTCACCATTGACCTTCATCTGGTACCGCCTCACACCGAGAAAATCTAGGCTGAATTAGAATATAAAATAACGGGATGAGCATGGAAACGCACCAGACTTGCTCTTGCATCCACCAGGTGCGTTGCACTTGAATGCCTGGTATTTGCGACCATCGTGAGAGTCGGTCAGAGTCTCGACATTGTCCTTGAAAAAGGTGTAGATGGGAGATGTCCATCTATGTTTGTCGTCTGAACTCCGAACTCCGTTAATAAAGAAAGTGAATGATAAATAAATTCTCGCACCGGGTTCACTATCTGCAGCCTTCTCCGATTCGACCGATGCCGTGCTCTTGGACTTGTGACTATGACCTATATAAATCTGTGAGTGAACGAGAAAGCGAACAGAGAGAACGAAGAAGCGAGCAGGGAGAACGAGGAAGCGAACAAGAAGAACGAGGAAGCGAACAAGGAATGAGGAAGCGAACAAGGAGAAAGAGGAAGCGAACAAGGAATAAAAGAATACTGACCACTTGAGATTGACCGAACAATGTTGCTGACTTTCTTCTTGAGTTTTCTAGCGCCCTTGGAGACCGTGCTTGCAGAGCGAGAGATAACAGAGGAGGGTGCCATGTTTTGAGAGCAGGATACAGGTGTGGCTTTATACTCTGGACAGTCGCAAATTTCAATTAGATCTTCATACTGTCTAGCAACTGTGAACGCACCGATTTAACGGGACAGACAGGGGTGATGGAACACAGAGGGGGTCGTCAGGGGAGTTAACATATAGCTAAAGCAATGAAGGATATAAGGAAGTAGCGGGCATGTTAATTCAGTAAACATGTTGCGCTTGCTGTAATCCATAGCAGGCCCAGGAGGGAACAAGTTAGTGACAGTGAAGACAAACGAGAGCTGTGGACAGACAAATCTTCACAGTGAGAGGGGTGTATCCACCAGATAAATTGGAAATGTCTTGATTCAAATTTTGAATTATCGAATACATTAGCCGGAACGGATCATTGCCAAGACACACAGCCCCGGAACATCTGAGGGCAAAGCCCAAACGAACATATTTGAAGTAGACTTCAAGTAGGTTATGGAAAACACAGCCAGTTGGGGGAGGGAGAGAACGGTGCTGGTGGCGGGAAGGAAGAAAGTGTGTGTCAGTAAACGTCTTTGATCAACAGCGGCGATCAAGCGCGGATCTCGGCTAATGTATGGGTGCTCGCTTATTCCGAGCCTGGGAATACCCGTAGTACCGCGGGTCGGGTACGCGGTATCTCCGGGATGACAATTAGCTCAACCTGGGACCCATACCCGGCGCACCCGTACCCGGGACCCCGCCGGGTTGACCCGTACTCGTGACCATCCTTATCAATCACCTTTACACCACATCTGTGACAGAGCACAATCTCGTGCTAGAAGTTGGGTATAGGGATGGCAGGATCACAGTGTATATCTACCCGACACAAATCTGCGGGAGCATCCCATATTATAGGCTGTACAATAGCACCGCGACTGAGCACTTCTATACAGTGTCAGAGGCGGAGCGGGAGAGTCTGTTGGCACGGGAGGATGGTCGGACGAGGGAATAGTGGGCTATGTGTTGGCTCCCAACTGTACCGAGTAAAGATAGCATATGTGATTGGCCGATGATCGCAGTATTGTAGGGTATATTGTTGGAGACTGATGTGAAACCTATTGTTTCAGTTAACGTTGACAGAAAACGAGAGCCAAAACCAAAGGTTTTGGGAAGCCTTATTCTCTCCACACAACTTGCTTAGAGTTTTAGTTATGTTTTCGGGCTCTCAAACAATAATAGGGGAAGTCAAACATCTCGCCCAAAACAATTCTGGGCCGATTCTGACATTGATTCTGGCAAGTTTTTCATTCCTGTCACTGGTTGGAAAATTCAAATTTTTCTGCTGAATTCTTAGTGAAAAATCTTGTTTGTTTCCATCAATTTTCAGCCAGAAACTAGGTGGAAAACCCAGAACATTTTCACCACTTTTCTGGTTTGAGGTGAAAAAACTCAAAAAAAAGTTGAAAAGGGGTGAAAAGCTTTGAAAATCTCACCATTTTTTCAGTGAAAAATGTCTGAAAAACAAACAACATTTTTCACTGTAAAATGTGCTGGAAAAATTGAATCTGCCAACCAGTGTGTCTGCTATTTCACCTTCTTCAACCGCTCAATCTACATCCTTCAAAAAGGGTATATGGTTGTTAGCAGTATATCTTATCTATATTCTCATACGTACTTTCTTTCATCCCATCATCCCCATCCAGTCCTTTACAGTTACAAAACTATTACATAACCTCAGCTACTTCTTGCTCTGTAACTGAGGTGTACGTTCTTTATATTCACTTGGACTATATATCTATTTTACTGACCAGCCTGTAGACTACGCTAACAGGTACTTACATTAATAGAGTTACTTCTTGCTCTGTAACTGACTCGCACTACGCTAACAATGGTGTAGTTGGTAATCTTGCTTGTCCACTGGCATTTGAACTTAAGATGACTCATGCTTCTGGGATACGGGTATTATGGACAAGTACTTACCGGTACTTTGAACTTTCAGCACCAATACTATCAAGAGACAACTGCTTCTCCTGGTCTCATCTCGCTTCCCCCTTTTGATCTCAACACATCAGGTGGGCACAAAGTATAGTTGGCTACCTCGCTCGATTGCGTGCCGACAGTTGTCGAGAGCAAGACATCGGAATAAACAGCTCTGTGGAATGGTCAGTGCTTTTCTGTTCCAACGAGACGGTATCACAAGCACCAATTTCATCCGGGCGTATGGTGTAGTTGGTTATCACGCTCGCTTAGCATCTTATGTAAGCTTGCGAGAGGTGTCCGGTTCAATTCCGGATTCGTCCATCCCTTTTTGCCTCTTCCAACCCCTCTCGTTTCTCATACCTTTTGCCTTATTTTACCTTAGAGCTGCCCCAGAAATATTTTCGATTGTTTTTGGACCCAGGATTGCGATTTATCGGAACATTGTGTCCACAGTGTCCTGGTGTCTCTATACTCATACTGTATCTACCTACCGTCCTGGTGGAAATTGACACACTATGTGTTTTGACATTTAAACTCGGATCGACCATAAGTATAACAGTGACTTGTCCCATATGCAGGTTGGCTTTGAGCCTACCGGTACCATGATCCCAGGTGATTGATTTGTTAGTTGGTTGGACATGCGAGCCCAGGCGGAGCTCAATACTTATGTTCAATGCATATTCAAACCTCCTTTGTTACTGTAACAGTTACAATGATCCAACCTTCGGAGAAGTCTGTACATATGGGGTTGTATCGTGAGGGGAGTCCAAGATGTCTACTAGAGAGCATTGGGTCCGTTGAGCTGACTTCTACTGTGGACTCTATGTAGAATCCTGGGTGGAATTGAGAGCTTGAGCAGACGGTAAATCTTCCTACCTCTATAATAGCAGCAAAGCATTTGGCACTGAGAAGGCAAAATATAACGCAATAACTTCCAACTTGAAGTACATTTTGTGATGGCCGGCCCTGCCAACTCATGGGATACCATGGGTGACCCGTAAAAGCCACGAGAATGCACCTCGAGTGCATGCAATTTTTTTAGCATGTTTTTTTTCATAGGTATTTGTTTCACGAGTCGGGGGTTCTAACTTCTTGTCCGGAGTCGTTTTGACTGACAATGAATTGGAGCCTGTAGTGTTATCACTGCTAATACTGAGGCTGACCACACGTCAAGAGAAATCTGCCTCGCAAGGCCAAACACTGATTGGCCAGGATTCAAGTTCTACCTGAGATTTTACGGAAAATCTATGCTCCAGCAGATTCAAACTTTTTTTTGATCCAGGGTTAGACTATGGATCCTCCGAGTTGTCACCGGGCGCGATGTGTCTTTGCACTCGCGATAGCAACTGCGCTGATAGGAGGTCCGATAATTACCATAACCGGACGATATGGGTTGTTTGCCCGTGTATGTCTCGCTGATAGGCTACTACTCTTTGCACTTTTCTTCCGCGTCTATTCTTCACTTTCTGTGTTCTGCGCTGCTTGCGGACTTTATCTCCAAACAGGCTGCTGGTCTACTCCGGCTCCCCACTGCGACAATTATCCGATCCACGTGACCCTTCTGACACGTATTCCTCTTTCTTCTGGTCACCACCACTATCATGTCGTTCGACGGCAGTGAAACCTCGCTGCTCGAAAAGCTCGACGCCGCCGTCCCCGCCCCGCTAGCGCAGTTCGAACGCCTTCCCGAAGGTGCCCTCGGCGTACAAGCAGCGCTCGGACTCGCGCGGATTCCTCACCATCTTCGTCGGCTTCGTGACTTCCTGCTAATGCTGAACGACATCGGCGAGTTTGTCTTTGGGTGGCCGGACCACGAGTTCAGCGTCGACACCAAAGAGAGCAGCTTTATGAACATTAATGTCGACTTGGTGGTTGCCATGCCGTGTTCTTGTGCGGCCTTCTCGTTAATCTTCGATCCAATGCTAATGTGCGCTGGCACCCTCGCAGTTATCAGCGTCGACCTGCGCGACGCCGTCGGCGACCGCCTCTTCCTCTCCAACACCCGCGGCCGCGGCCCGGGCATCCGCCGCGACGGCACCAAGTTCGATGTCGGGCAGGCTACGACGCTCAAGGCCCACTCGCAGGCACTCTCCGCGCGCCAGGCCGTCGCCCAGTCGCGGAATAGCCGCGGCTTCTTCTCCACCATGTTCCAGTGGGCGAACCCCGAGCCGTATATGCCCAGGTACAAGCACGAGCCGGACGCGCGGGGGTGCCGCGTGAGCGGGGCAGGTAGAGGTGAAGAAGGTGACGGCGAATCTGCACATTACGACGCTGGGGCACGGGTATGCGTCGCACGAGCACGTAGATCACAGCCGTGCGTGCGCTTTCTCTGCTTTCTGTCGGGCGAACTGATGCCAATGGGCGCACAGTGATGAACCTCTCGCACGTCATCACCGAGTTTTCGTTTGGGCCGTACTTCCCCGACAATCAGCAGCCGCTCGACAACTCCCTCGAAATTACGCATGATCGTGAGTCGTGTGCTTCTCGATAACTAGCAGTTACTCAGTGTATGTACGCCAGCCTTCGTCGCGTACCAATACTTCCTGCACGTCGTGCCCACGACGTACATCGCCCCGCGCTCGGCGCCGCTGCATACGAATCAGTATAGGTGCGTTATGTGTTTACGTGATTCTTTACCCATTCTAACTGCCCCGCAGCGTAACGCACTACACGCGCGTGCTGGACCACCACTCCGGCACACCGGGCATCTTCTTCAAGTTCGACCTCGACCCGATGAGCCTCACGATTCACCCAGAGGACGATTGGGATCGTGCAGTTAATTATCAGGTCGGTGGGCTGTTTTTGTTTTTACAAAATATCGTATTCCTCTGTCCCACCCTACCTTCGATCGCCCCCGAGGCAATCGAGGCTCGCTCGTCTCCCCTTCTGTCGTATCTTTCCCATCGTATCCCTTTTACCCACCTTCCCACTTGCTTATGTCCTTCTCCTCTCATCGCATCCGACCTTCTTCTCCTCTCATCCCCTCTTTTCTCTTCCCCTCGTCCTCTCGAGTACTGATCTACTCCTTCCAGAATGGTCGGCGTCATCGGCGGCGTCTTCGTCTGTATGGGGTACGCCCCTGAAGGTCACCACCGCCGCGGTCTCCGCGTTCGTGGACAACTCGGACGACGAGATCCCGCCGGCGGTGGCGAGCGCGAGTGCGCTGAAGACGAGTTTAGTGGTGAGTGCGCTTGGGTGGCTTTTTTGTATTTGGAGGAGTGGGGGAGGGGAAGGGTATGGAGTGGGGAAGGGAGATGGGGTGCAGGCAGTATGGCGTTTTGGCGGGCGTATAAAGACGGAGTGCTGAGTGCAGCGTATCGAAGCACGGACCTGTACGCGTTAGGCGCGCCGGGTGGACGAGTCTTGCCGCACAGTCAGATGGAAGACGGAGTGCAGGCTATACGGGGACCTACGACGCCCTCACCCGTTCCCTCTTCCTTTTCCGTTCGCTTCCCTTTTGTGCTCCCTTTTCATTAGAAGACTTTGCTGACACGCACACACAGGCGCATCCCTCACCAAACGCGCGCGCCCCGGCTCCGGGCGGCTCATCCCGCAAGGCAACGGCTGGTCATGGAAAGCGCGCCCGGCAGCCCCGTGCCCTACTCTGGGGCGGGGAGCCCGTACAGCGGCACCCCCGTGTCGGGTCGTTCCCGCTCCCGCAGTCGCCGTATTCGCCTGCTGGTGCGTACCTCCAACGTGTAGGGAAAAAAGATGAGATGGCTGACCCACCTCCGCAGGAGGCTACCCCGGCTCACCCGCCGCAAGGAGGATACGGCTCGCAGCCTGGCACGCCTGGTTCGGGCCGCCGCCGATGAGCGGGCGGTCGACGAGCGGCTGGGGCCGCCGAGGACGCCTGGGGTGGGGAGCCCGCGGCCGCAGAGTATTGGGAGTGTGCCGATGCCGGGGACGCCGCAGGTGCGTTGCGCGTTTTTCTTTTTTGGAAGAGGTGCTGACCGGTGTATGCCCGTTTCTAGTACGGCATCTTCCCGCCCACACCCAGCCCGGGACAGGGGTTCAATATCCCGCCGCCTCCGTCGGGGAAGAGGCTGAGCACTGGGAGTCCGGGGGCGGATAAGAAGAAGGACGATTGATCTTCTGATAAGGGGTAGGCCGGCCCGCCACAAAGAGATTGATATGCTGGTCTGGCGTGCGAACGGAGGGGATCAGGCAGAAGTGTGGCCACTGGAGGACGGGTAGAGATGCGAGGAAGGGTTGGGGCGGTGTAAAAGTATAACTTTTATTTGTGGCGGGGGGTATGGTTTTTTATACACATTATACACATATATGTGGTGTGGCTTCCGCCGGTCAAGAAGGGAACGGGTGTGTGGAGGTGAGAACGAGAGAGGCCGAAAAAGGGAAGAGGCTTTCCTTTTTAGGATCGTGACAGATTTCACGAGCCAAGATTCTCATGGCCCATTCCGGGCTCTCTCCTTCACATGCTCCAACCAACTATTTTATCCCCTATCATTTTGAATCCCCTGCGCTTCTGCAATCTCTAGGTTCGCTCGCTGCCTCCGGTTAACAGCAACTCAAGGTCACCACCACATAGAGTGAGCTGGCGACTAACTCGGTGAGGATTTCGTCAAGATAATAAATTCAAAATGGTGGAAGCAATACAACCCGTCATACTACAAGGCCCTTCATTCTCCCCATCAACCACTCCTTCCATGGCGTCGACAGCGGCTTCATGTACTTGCTGGACATCTGGGAGTATCCCATCGGCGCAATATTGCAGGTCCCGCTGTCCGTCTCCATCAAGACCACCCAAAGGGCACCAGTCAGTCCCGACTGCTTTTAGTGGTCGCTCGCAAGTTTGAGCTGCCCCCGCATTTCGTCCGACTTGGGGAAGCTCGCAATCGGCGCGGGTCCCGCCTCAGTGACCCAAAAGCTTGTCTCGACGCGGGGAATCCAGACGCGGACGTACGAAGATAAGCAGGACGTCGCGCTCTGCGCGGGTCGGATCGGCGAGGACCCCAAGCGCGCGTATGCCTGCCTCCGCGACAGTGGGCCTGTGCTTGGAGGTGAACGCGCGCAGGCTTTTCACCATGTCCATTCGCGTTGCGGACATGGTCTCGGGCGAGCGCCCGGTTGATAGCGCATTTCGATTTGTGCGCTTTCCATACGGCGCGCTGGCAGCTTTGCTCTGTGAATATACTATATGTGAGTATGATACTCTCAGTGCATGCTGAGCATGATTTCGCACACAGTATATGTCGACCTGGCATGCCGCACACCGCTGAAGGGTGACTCCTGGTCCCTTCCACTTGAAGCAGTTCTAGCACTGCGTGAGCTCCTTGCGTTGGGTTTCTTTCGGGTCTGAC